CCACCATTACCATTGCTCGCTCCCCACTATAATCGGTGCTTAAATTTTTTTCTCCCTCTTCTATCTTTGTAATTTAATCTTCAATGTAAATACATATATACTAATTATTGACCATTATTTTTATTATTTTGTACCTTCAAGCACGAAAATAACTAGTAAATGAATAAATGGAAGAAAAATTAATAAAATAAATTATTTTTTGATATAATACTAATTAAGAAAAAATGTCTTTATCCAAACCCAATCTGAGAACCAAAAATCTGCAATCAAATGCTAAAATTCTAGCATTATGATGGTCTTGAGTTTATCATCAAGTGGATCTTAGATGCTACATTCACGACCTCAACATAATTGCATTTAGCTAGGCACCTTTTAAAAAGAAAACGTTATCAAGTGGCACAATTTTTTTAAGTGTACTTGAAAAACTTCTTTATGGACCAAGGTTTCTTGTTGCTACAACTCTCTGCCTAACAAAGCCACTTTAGCCGTCAATTTAGTTTAATTACAATGTCACCTAAAAGTTGTGTGCCACCAGAAATTCAGAAATCTTGTTTTACCATTTACTACTCTGGATCAATACCCATAGCAACATTGATAAATTCTTGGAAAAATTTCAATCACACCTTTTTTAGTTTATCATATCTGTAAGAACATATCTTCTATTTTTTAAATCTTCACTGACACGTCTTATAAGATTAAAAGTGTTTACTAGAATGCAATTTTACTAAATTGTCAATAATATATTTTAGAAAAAATTTCATCCATACACCCTCTAGATACACATATCTTCAATGAGACCCCCTCTATTTTTTAAATTTTTTTACGTATTAAAATTCAAGATGATTAAAACTCGATTTGACTTAATTAAAATTTATTTTTTACGTATTAAAATTCTAGTCGATTATAAATTATATTTTTTACATATTAAAATTTGAGTTGATTAAAATTCGATTCGAGCAAATTAAAATTCATTTTTAATCAGCTCAAATCAAATTTTAATTAACTAGCATTGAATTTTAATCGTTCTGAATTTTGATATATAAAAAAATATAAATTTTAATCGACTCAAAGTTTAATATGTATAAAATAAATTTCAATCAATTTGAATCGAATTTTAATAAAAAAAATATATAAATTTTAGTTGACACAAAGAAAATTTTAATTGGCGCTAACAGCTCAAGCATAGCTCAAATCGGCTCCAATTTTGATACTTAAAAAAGAAATTTTAATATACTCAAATTTTAATACGTTTAAAAAAATAAAATTTAATCAACTCGAATCGAATTTTAATCGGCTCAAATTTTAATATTTAGAAAAAAAAATTTCAATCAGCTCAAATTTTATGTAGAAAGATTATTTGAGGTTTATGTAAGGGTAATTTTGGTATTTTTGATGATTTTTTTTTATTAGAAATGATGGTTTAACAACATGGGGTGTCTGTGATGTTTAAATATAAATTAAAAGAGGTGTAAGTGATATTTTGAATAATAGAGAAGATGTCCTTGAAGATATAGTAAACTAGGGCGTGGCTAAAATTTTTCCAAAATTCTTTATGTAGAAAGAGTACACGAGCCTCAAGACCCCCATGCTGCAGTTGATTTGTTGGGCCTCATAAAGATGAAGGGCTTTAATCTTATTCAACACCAAAGCAGCAGCAGCATTAAAAATGGAGAGTTATAGAAAAGATACTACTGTAAAATTGAGCTAATGTAATTTCCTAAGTACACTAATGTTGTTTTTGATTTGCACGAAAGGAGAAAGACTCTGATGACAATGTAATACCTTTCGACATTTTTACTTGTTATGGAAACACAAGTAACCACCAGAAATTTCATCCGAACCTTTCCCCAGAAAGAACCATTTTCATTCCCAAAGATTTGATTTTTCAAGATATAAGAAACATTGGTGTACTCTACTGGCTCTCACACTCGGCACGTCATATGTTTCAATGAGATAGATGACCTCCTCAAGTGCATCTATTCCCTCCTGCCATAGCAAAGCAAACAAACTGTTAATTGGAAGGTGGAGTGATGCACACAATTGGCACTTTCTCATACTTTTTGACATATTACCTGAACAGTAAAGTGAAACTCATGGGGTGTTTGGTAAGGGAGTATCGGGGCTTGACAAGATGGGTTTGGAGAAAATGGTTCAAAGGACTCTAAAATCTCTTGTTTGAATTGAAAATTCAATCCTGAGTTCTCAAACCAAACCCGTAGTTGACCCGCATATTAAACTCATAACCATGAGTTTCGTCAAACCTAGGGAGAGGTGGATTTGGGAAGATAGATTAAGGGGTTAAAAATGCAAAAGACAATTATACCTCTTAATATTGGTATGAATTGGATTGATCAAAAATAAAATAGTCATTTATAAGACAAATAATTGTTAATAATTATGATATATTCGTGAGTTCTACATGTATATGTATTACATACTAAACATAGGTATTGACAGGATTTTATGTTGAATCTCATCTTTATAAAGATGGGGTTTGAGTATAGAAAGGTTTTAAGAAATTAATTCAAACCCTCCCTCAAAATCCATCCAAACTCTCTCCCAAAATCTATCCAAACAAGCCCATGGTGACGAGTGAGTGACGAGCTAATTTGCTACTTCCTTGGAAGGACAAAACGTCTATTCCCTTGTATTTTGGGCAACATTCAAAAGCTAGATATATATTCATTTTTCTAACTATGTAAAGAAAATATTGGTCCATCTTACAACTATCCTAAGTGGATGAATTTTAGGAACCCACTAAATTACCATATATGCATTTAATTTGGCGACAACAGAATTAGTGCATATCAAACCATCAACTTGTTTGTCAAAAGGCTATAAGAATAAAGCCTACTCCCATGTGACATCGAAACAAGTCACATTGCACTCATCCTTCTGCCCCAAATCAAGTGGAACGGGGGCTACCCCTGTCCACCGAACCTACCTCAAACTTTTGCCTATAGCATTTCCGAGAGCCTAGGTTGACAGAAGAACACATAAATGAGTACCTACCATCACTTGGAGCGTTTGGAATCTTAATCTCCCCTATAATGGTTACAAATCATAGCTAGCCATGTAACTGTTGGGATTTAATGTACTTTAAACTCATAGACAAACACACACAATCAAAAAATAAATCAAACACATAAAATAATGAGAAAGAAAAAAAAACACAAATTTTACGTGGTTCGACAATTTACGTACGTATACGAAACTGTAGAGATTTCACTATTGAAAGGGGAGAATACAAAGGAAGACTGTATAATACACATAAAACTCTAATCACCAAAATAACAGGTTTTATATGTCCTGCGAACCGGGCTACAAATAGGCCCAAAAAAAATTTATCGGAGAGACTCCTACAAGGTTTGTCCATGAGCTCTACGATTTAGGCTTGTCAGCCTAAGCCTTCGCTCCATAGACTAAATTTCAGAAAATTACTCATTAAAAATCACAAAATATTATTTCGGATCGAATTATCATCCAAATCAACACAAACTAGACTCCACAAAAAATTCAACCGTAACTGTATAATACAACATTCAAAATAGCACCATACGTTTGAAAAGTCAAACCCTTTTCTTTCATTTACTTAGCAATGATTCCAAAGCCCCAATAAACTACTAAATCTAATATAGGAAGACAGCATTTGGGAGGATTGAATCCTTGACTTGGAATTGAAATTAGAGTAGAATTACATTAACTTCTGAACCTAATGTGAAGTTCAAATTACCGTTACAAAGCATCAAGTCCATTCTCACGAAAGACAAAACACGATCATACAGTAAATCCGAATTTGTAAATTTAACTTCATGCAAACTAAGAAATTCAAGCACCTAATGCACCAGCAACCATGAGATTAAACATTGAACGATCAAAGGATCACATGAACAAATTCCTTATGAAAAATTAAAGTGAGATATCTATGTGTTTATAATCTCGAATACATTTACAAAAACTTCTTTCAAATACAGATATTAGAACGAATTGAGCTAAAAATGTAGAAATTACCTTCTCGAGAGCTCAATAATTCTGAATTTTTTGGCCTGAGAATTGTCTACACAGTCAAAGACTGTCAGTATTCCACACATGGCGTCTCTCTCTTTCTCTTCAACTTCACCGTTTGCATACGTGGTATCACCAACCAACCAATAATATCCTGATATTATGTGGTAATATTGACATGATATTATGATTATATTGAATATTTACTTCTGTCTCTGAAGGGAGGCTCTGAGACCAAACAGCTAGGAACGGAACAAAAATGGAGGCTGCTAGATGGCATGGTGTGTTTTTATATAACGCCTTAGTTTGATCAGGGCCGTCGATTCTCAACGGTTTTCAAAATATTCCATTTAATTTTAGGCTTTTAATCCTTCTTAAAAGTTAGAGCACTGTTAATGTCTTAACGATTCTTTCTAGTGGGGCCTAGTATCTGGGAAATAAGATACCCGCGGCTGTACTAGTGCTTGTACAATAAATTATACTGATACCCTTGTGATTTTCAACAATTACAAAACATATCTAGTTTTTATTTTATGGTTTTTTTTTGTTCAACCCCCAGACTATCCGAGCAAGTTTACACACATTTCGACTCATTTCTTCATCTCTTCTTTGGTGCGGTTAAAAGTAAGTCATCTATACTAATAGAAAATTGTTATTTTGACCTAAAAATCTGACATAATTTGTTGACCTAATGACGTAGTTTCATTAGAACCATTGGATAAATACCAAATTTTAATATACAATAGAACCCACGATTAAATTAAAGATCATAATGAATTAAGTTAATAAATTAGATCTCAATATCACGCCTCACTTTTTAATACAAAATTCGTCCCCGGACTAGAATTTACAGCTTGGCAACCATGATGGTGTGGAGCTCACCCTGCAAGTCGTGGTGGCATTAATAATACCTTTCTTTGTCAATCTCTCTCTTTTTCTTTTTTTTTTATTTTAATAGACACATATATTTCCCTCTTTTATTTCTTCTTCCCCATCGACAACAGCCCTTAATTCTCCGATCATCTACAAGTACTTCCAAGGAACCCTAGCAATTTACAAACACACACGGAAAGATACAAATACATGCGTATATAGACGTATATATAGAGAGAGAAAATTGTAGGGTGAGAAAGAGATTGTGGTTCGGATGTACTGAAATGGGTGCTGCCGGCTCGAGACTCGAGAAAGCTCTGGGAGACCAGTTCCCCGAAGGCGAGCGTTACTTCGGACTCGAGAATTTCGGCAACACTTGCTACTGTAACAGCGTCTTGCAGGTACGAATTGGATTTGAGAATTATTTTAACTCGAAACACATTTTCGTGTTTTAATTGGTTTAAGATTTATGAATTTATTGTTTATTAGTCGTTTCAGTCTTAGTTGAGACTTAAGACTTCTTGTTTTTTTGGATCTTTTGTTTTTTATGTGGTGGCGCTTGATTGATAATGACATGCAATTGTGTTTGGTTGTAATTCGGTACTTTATGAAATGATGTAGAGAAATTGCTCATTTGGGGGTAGAAATCGTTTGATATATGCATGCTTTTTTCTTCTGTACTTGTTTGATAGCATGAAATTTGATGGATAAATATTGGAATTGCATAAACAATGTAATTGGATTGAAATTAGACAAAGGTAGCTAAAGTTTGAAGGCATATTTCTTTAATTTCAGTTCCAGGGCCCTAATTCTTTGTTCCCAAACAAAGTATTGGTGTTGTGCGGTGGCCACTAAAGTGATGTGGTATTCTTAGACGTCCTAAGAGAGTAAAATATCTTGACTGCTGTTTCTCACATTGTATCCAGAGAATATAATAACAGAAATTGGAATAGTATCAGCAAATATTCACTGTCCTTGGTGACTCGAACGGTGATCAATGCCGTTTTTGGCGAAAATCCAACCTACAAAATAATTGGAAACTTTAAATTTTGCACCCTTACTAAATGAATTGATTAATTGCTTGTCTTCTATTAGCTTTTTGCATATAAACTTTGTGACAAGTGTATCCTTCAACTATCTATAAATCTTTGAGGATGTCTTGTGGTATGACTTGGGTCCCACAGGAGTATCGAGCAGTAATTAACCCGAAATGCATTTGACTGACTTAGTCCATTCTTTCTTATAAGAAGAACTACATCTTAAATAACTTCAATTCGGAGATGTATCACTAATATTCCAACTCTGCTTAATCATCGATATCTATATTCCTTTTTTTGGATTGGATGTATATGCTCTTCTGCCAGAATTAGAGGGGGATCTAACTAGCATTCATGTATTAAACAATGACGTTTGAGAATGATTTGGGGCATCAAGATTGTGTAACAAATACTAGTTAAAAATTTAAAATATAATGCTCCTTGTTGATCATCGTGTATTCTTTTTTGTCAGTGAAGGAAGTTTTTTGTTCAAAATAAATCTCATACTAAATTCCCTTTAGAATTTTGCACTAACTGTCGTCACGTTTTTAATGCAGGCTCTTTATTTCTGTGTTCCCTTTCGTGAGCAGCTACTAGAATATTACTCTAATATCAAAAATCTTGCTGATGCCGAAGAAAATCTATTGACGTGCCTAGCAGACCTATTTTTGCAGGTATAACTCTTCCAAATGTAGGTTGTGCTCTGTACATATTTTATTAATTCAACAAAACTCGTTCTTTTCTTTTGACATTTCCCTTTTGTTTTGCAAAGAGATAGGTTTGTTCTTCATTAGGTGTATATTTACATGTTTGACACGTAAAAGTTAATGTAGTTGAAGAGGGAACAAACTTGATTTTATTGGATAGATCTGCGAATTTAGCCTTACGACAACCTTATTGTCAAGGAGAGAGACTACAAGGTGAAGAGTTTCATGCCTAAAAGTCACATAACAAAAAGGATTGTCTAGACCTTTGGAGTGTGATTGCCCCAAATTCACCCCTTCCCTCCCAATCCCCCCTTGACCCATCATTGGCAATTTCTATTATAGGTAACTTGCTAGCAATTAGTGTTGTCCATGGACTGGTCCAGGCCAACTCATAAACTGGTTCATTCCAAGCCCACTTGAGCCACATTGAAAGCCATGGGATTGGCAAGGCCTAGTCCAAGGTTCAAAGTATGGGCCAAGTTTGATAACGATATATGTTATTCCAAATCAATGAGTGTTACTCGAATTGATTGGAAATGGGGTACAACTCAGCAGAAATAGGGCAACTCGGAGTCAACTCAGTTGATTCGGATAAACTTTAAATTTATGTAGATGTCAATGTTGATAGAACAATGGGTATTGTGATTATGTGAGATAAGAGGATGGTTCAAGTGAAGGAATTGGTGGAGGGTGAGTTTTCATTGTCAATTAGGATAAGGTCTAATGAAGGAAATGATTGGTAGCTAACTGGAGTGTATGGTTCAAATTTCCCTAAGGTGAGAAGTTGATTTCGGGAGGAATTGACGGGTTTTTATGGTCTATGTAGTCCTCTTTGATGTGTAGGTGGAATTTTTTATATTCTTAGGTATCTCTAAGAAAAATTGAATGCCAAAAGGGTAACTAAAATTGTGAGGGATTTTGATTCTTTTATTAGAGAAACTAATCTAAAACACCCTCCATTGGGAATTAATCCTTTATTTGGTCTAATTTTAGAGAAAACTCAGTTGGTAATATGTTAGATAGGTTTATTTTCTCTATTGAGTGGGAGGACTGTTTTCCAGGGGTGAGATAGGTGATTCTTTCAAGAGTAAAGATCATTGTCTCTGTCCTTTTATGTTTGAGAATACGTGGCTAGAACATCATACATTTAAAGTATATTTTAAGGAATGTTGGAGGGAAAGAAATTATCAAGGGCAAAAGGGTTATAAATTTGTGAAAAAATTAAAATATGTGAAAAAAGAATGTTAAAATATAGAAAAATGAAGTGTTTGGAAGGATTAGATGAGAGCTTGAGAAAAGAAAGGTGGGAGCTTAGGAATAAGTTTAAGGAGGTGGAAGAAAGTTGGAGACAAAAAGCTAGAATGAAATAGATCAAGAAAGGAGATAATGGTTCAAAAAAATTTCACAGTTGACTAATGGTAGTAGGAAGAATAGATTTTTTGATAAAAGGGCATTGAAATATGGTGTGATAATGTGGACGAGATGAATATTGAGAGAAAGATTGTGAAATTTTTTGCTCAGTTGGAAGTGAGAGGCTTAGATTAGAGGGTTTGGAATGGAGTCCAGTTAATGGAAGTAAATCTAGGTGGTTGTTAAAGACCTTTTAAAGAAGTATGGTAGAGATAAAACTCCGAGTCTCGATGATTTCATTTTGGCGATTTATTAAGTAGTGAATGTTATCAGTAATTCTACGTTTATTTGTTTGATCCCTAAAAAAGATAAGTCCAAGACAGAGAATTTTAGGATGATAATCTGGGTATCTCTCTGTAGAATCATTACAAAAATGTTATCTTTTGAGATTCAAGGAGTCTCTTGGTGATACTATTTATGATTGTCAAGAAGCCTGTGTTAAATATAGGCAAATTCTTGATGTGGCTCTCATTGAAAATAAAATTGTAGATGATTATAGAGGAAATGAGTTTTTTGTATTTAAAATTTTAAAAGGCCTATGTCATGTGGTTTTAAGATTTTTTGGACAGTCTTATTAGTTAAGATATGGAGGTCGATGGAGAAGGTGAATAATTAGGGGATGTTTGAGATCTATGGACTTCTTTGTTATACTTAAATGGAAAGTCTAGGAGTAGATCTATGAACATCTAGACTTAGGGTCATTTATCTCTTTTTCTCTTTACTTTAGTTGTTGATGGACTTAACAGGTTAGTGAAACGTGCATAGAGTTATAATCTTGTGGAATGATTTATTGTGGGATGGGATAAGATTGTTGTCTCTTACTTGCAATAATGGTTCAAAGTCGCAAAATCAGCTATCAACTCGAAGGGCACTAATACACATTTATCGTGGCGTCGCGGCATGGTATCAGGCTATATGCTCAAAAAGCTAGATAGATGTTTCAAAAATATTTGAAAAAAAAACATAAAAAATTATAAAAAATATAAGTAATAGCATTCATGCATCATATGATCAAAATACATCAACTAACATATTAAACATAGTTAAAATCCATTATAAGGACGTAATCAAAAATGTGTGTTATCAATAGTGTTAAATATAAGAACATGCCCAATCAAAATTAATTTATGTCTTATTTTATATCATTAATAAAGCTTAATAAAATATAGTAACTTAATATGTTTACGTCATAAGTAGACCTATATTACCGATATAAGAAATAAAGTACATTAGTAGAATTTGTTTAGGCCTTTTTAGGATCAAAAAGGATTATACCAGAATATGTAACAAAACTTATTAAAAACCATTTGTAATAGACATTTATTAAGTTATTAATAAACACTTACTGAAAATATTACAAATTAGAAAAAAAAACAAAAACAAAAACAAAAAGAGTAAAAGGACCCTTTAAAAGGGTCGTTCGACTGCGAGAGGAGAACTTAATACGATTTCGTCTATGAGTGAGAGAGAGAGAAAGAGAGAATAGAAGAGAATATAGAGAGAATGAGAAGATAAGAGAAGAGAGAGAAGTCTCAAATCAATCACGTGGAAGAAGCGACAACACCTAGGACAAACGCTTGGCTTCCGTGAATCGCAACAGTTTCACAAAGAAGAAGAGGACTCTCACAACAATTCTTTTGGATTTTATAGGGTTTTCATACAAATTGTTTTAATATCTTCTTCTGTTGGCAAAAAGAGTTTGATTCAGGTTTGTAATTGGAAGATTGCATATGGTTCTGTGATTGGGGTTGGAAGATTTAGGGTTTAATTTACTTCTTCTTCCCTTTTGCCCTTTTTTGTTGTCCGAGATCTTTCTATTGGTTTTGAGGACATCGGTTCAACTCGGATACGACTCATCCGATTCAAGCAAGTTACATCCGATTGGTACCAATTTTGACGAGTTATGGCCGAGTCGAAACCGATTCATGTGAAACTCAGGAATATTTGAGTAGCGTAACTCATTATTGGTTCGATGGTGGCCGAGTTGAACACGACTTGGTCGAGTCGTATCGGACTCGGTCGATATTTTGAACCATGCTTGCAATTCGCTGAGGATATAGTATTTTGTGTATAGGGGATGAGGAGAAAATTATTAATCTTAAGAATATTGTGAAAATGTTTGGATTGAAGTTAAATATGAATAAAATTTTACTTGTGGGCATAACTTCACATTATGATAAGATACAAAGAGGTGCAGGACTTTTTGGTTGTCAAGTGAAGGAATGACCTTTGAATTATTAAAGTTTGTCTTCGCGTGAAAATCCATTTTCCTCATCTTTTTGGGATCCGATGGTGAAGAGATTTGGTGAGAGGTTGGGTGGATATAAGAGAGCTTTCATTTCCAAAAGGGGTAGGCTAACATTAGTACAATCCGTTTGACCACTTATTTTTTTATCTTTATTTAAATGACTGGGAAGATAGCTATGAAGATTAAAGAAATGATAAGGGAATTCTTATGGGAATGATATAGTGAGTGGAGGAAGGATCATTTGATTAGCTAAGGGGTGGTGTCCATATCTAAGCATAAATGGAACTTTTAATTGAAAATTTGAAGGTAAGAAATATTACTTTAGTGGTCAAGTGGCTTTGGAGATTTTCCATAGAACAAAATTCTCTATGACATTTGGTTATCAATAACAAATATGGATTACAATCCAGTAGATAGGACACTAATAGTGCCCATGGAAGTTTATATCCCAAGTAGTGAAAAATATAAATTAATTGTGGGTAATAGGTAGAGACTTCGTTTTTAGGAGGATACATGGATTGGAGAGTCATCTTCTTCATTTTTGCTTCCTTGTCTATCAATTGTCTAATTCTCATGGTGCATCCATTGTTGTTATACTTCGGTGGTATAATCACCTTTCCTCATGGGACTTTGGTTTTCGTAAGAATTTAGATGATAAAGACACTAGGGAGTTGATGCCATTTCTTTCTATTCTTGATTTTTCCTTTTTGAATCAAGAGTCATGCAACAAAAGAAAATGGGTCTATGAGTCTTCGGGTGTTTTTTCTACTAAATCCTTCTTTGATTCTTTGGTGAATGATTCTTCTTTTCCTATTTTACCCCCATTAAAGTGTTTGCATGGATTGTGGCACATAGTAAGATTAACACCAATGATTTGTTTCAGAAAAGAAGGCCTCATACTTACCTTTCCCCATAATATTGTGTGAAGTGTAAATGTGCTTTGAAAAGCATTGATTATTTATTTCCTATTGCTCTATGCTATGTCCTTGTAGAATAAGTTGTTTGACTTGATGGGTATGACTTGGGTGATTCCTAAATTACATATATATGGAGATGTGAAAGAATCTGGGAGGATTGATAAAGGCGTGACTCTTTGGTATTGTGCTATGATTACTACATATTGAGTTGTTTAGAAAGAAATGTATGAATATTTGAAGATTGAAGTGAGTGGATTGAAGTATTATGGGATCATGTTTATTTTTTAGCGTTTTAGCATGGGTAATGAAGGATTTAAAGGAATTTTGCTTTTTTCTTTTTTCTTTTTAGCGCATTGGAGAGTTTCATGTGATTTCTAGGCTTTTATTTATTTTTCTCCTTTTTGTTTGTATTTTTTCTACTTCATTGGATTCCTTATCCAACTTCTTTGAGCTACTTTTCATTTTTTATTGATGCAAAGTTTCTGTTTCCAGTGAAAAAAAAAAATTGATATGAAAGCTTCATTCACGTTACCAAGTGACAAGTTAAAGGTGTCAATTGAGTCATGATGTTTCATATCTAGACTCGTGTTATTTTGGGTTTGTATCATTTTTAATTGTGTCATTTGAGGTTTAGATTATGTTCATGTTGTGTTCATGTAACACGTGAACTAGAGACAATGCAATGAAGATCCTATTTTCTTAACCAAATCCACCCTACATTGTCCCCATAAATTGAATATCTACTTAATTCTTATCCGAGTAAATCAAATCATAAATAATGTATTTACAAGTTGTACAATACCATAGCAAGAAAAAAAATAATAATAATTAGGCATTTTTTTCTTGCATTATTGGCTTGTCGTGTCGTGTCAAAATTGAGTTATCCATATTTGACAATAACCCACCCATTAATCATTTGTGTTTATTGGTGGTATCATTTTTGACTTCATGTTGAGTTCTTGTCTTGTTAACGTGTTCATTTGAGAATGGTATCCATATCTTTGATCAAACCAATTTTACCAGAATCACGTTCGATTTAATACATGGTATGGGTACTAATACACACTGGGATGAAAATAGACTTAACAACACAGATTTTCTCATCTCAGAGAATGGATGAGAGAAACCTTTATTCACTGTCTGAATAATTCCAGACTTTCCAAGCATTCGAGAGGCTTGGGAACTCTCCAAAATGAGTAAGCTCACTACAAAACAAATATTTTCATCCCCTTGCACTGACCCCCCTATATTCTCCTCACCCCCTTAGCCAAAACAGAAAACCAGCAAATACTAACAGAATGCCAAAACTTACTCCGTAACAGAAATGCATAACAAAATTGCATATCAGCCCTTCTCTCTAACCACTTCTTACACGTCAGCTATGATCTAGATTTTCGGAATTACCCCTGCGCCTAGAATAGATGAAACGCACTTGTGGCCTAACAGGTACGCAGTATGGTACATCTTCTGATACACGGGGCAATAGGAGTAGACTTAGTTTGTAAATTGTTTTGGGTCATGGTTCATTTTCTATAGGATCGCTTTCTCTATTTTAATAGTTAAGTATTTATTTTGGAGTTTGAATTACAATTTGGGGACGAGAATTTAAGCCATCTGGATTGTGAACCCACTCTATTTCGAGGCATAGGGGTATCTATGATCCCAGTATTTGTGGATCAAACACTTCATTCTTCAAGTACTTTTCTTCTCTTCTCTTTATTGCAGTCTCATTTTTTTCTCAAAAATATCTTTTCCCAAGGCAAGACAACTATGATCTAATGATATTTTTATAGGATGTCATACATCAGTCTTTTATTATAACATGCACTACCTAGAGCTTTGATTAATTTGAACAATTTTGTATGAATGGAGGGGTGAAGTTATGTTTTACTTTTGAAGAAACGGATGGCAATAGAGATGCTCGATCACCTATTGGACTCTTATTGTATCCTTTATAGGATTGATCTTGGAAGGATCACACTGTATCCTGCTCCTGCCAATGCCATTGGCGTACACTCTTCTTAAAGTTTAATGACTTTTGTTTCTATGCTAACAATTTTGATATGGTTGATTATTTATACTTTGACATGATTACACATGCACGCACTCATTTAATCATTAGTATCTACATTGTTTGGGGAGGATAAAATGAGTAATGTTTCTCGGGCTAACACCCTTGCAAATGTGTGCAGATAAGTTCACAAAAGAAGAAGACAGGTGTCATTGCTCCAAAGCGTTTTGTACAACGATTGAAGAAGCAAAATGAGATCTTCCGCAGCTATATGCACCAGGTATGTTCTTAATATAAAAAATTGCCTGAGTTGGCTCTGATTTGTAAATCTCAGATAGCAGTTCTTGTGACATCAAAAATAATACTTTCTGTAGTTGAAGAAGAATGGAAAGTTATGGAAATATCTGGCCAGCATTTGGAGTTAATAGAATTGTAAAATAAGCTGATACCCGCCCTTTTGTGTTACTGTTGTATTTTTATTGAACTCAAACAATATGTCCGTGGGCTAACTGTTTGGTTCAACACACAGCATTTGATTTACCGGAAGTTGTTTATATATTAAGCCCAATGACACACTGAGGTGAAAGAAACTCCAAAATGCTCTCTTTTTTTTTTTAATACTTAAGAAAAATATAATGACTGCACGGCTTTTCCCTAAAGACTTGCTCATACTACATTTCCATTGCGATTGTGTAGATGGATATAACATATGGAATGGGTTACGAGAGTATAACGTGATCGAATTCGTGAAGTTTTAAAAACATAAACCATATCATGAAATGAAATATTCTTGTAGATATATGAGAGGAAGTCATGACAGAATGCTTTTGGAACATGCATCATGGATCTTTAGCAGGGGTGGTGGTCCAACACATGTTGGGGGCATTAGGTTTAAAATTTTAGATGAGGCTCAACACTATATAGTATAAAAATATAGATATGACTAAATAATTATGAAAAAATAATATATATTTCCTTAAAAATTATTTTGGAATTTACTTCTACACACCTATTTTCTAGTCGTTTTGTGTGTTTCTTATATTTTATAAAAAAAATAATAAGCAAAAAAAATCAATCTAGAAAAAAGGATTACAAATTTAAGCTAAGAAAAAAATTCCTAATTATGAGAAGTAGGTAATAAATAAATAATCTGCCAAGCAATTGTGATTATATTAAATCAAAGTATTGTGTGAGCAATTAACTCATCTTTCAATGATTGCATAAAAATAGGGCAAACTCCAAAAACAAAATTAATGTTAGAATAGTCATTCGGTCGTGTCTTGTCATAATTTACTTAGTACACAATCATCTATCCTATCCCATTTATAATCTTGTGGGTTTGTACCATATGTAGGTCGTGTTTAGCGAGTTTGTGTCATGTTTAGCCATGTTTGTGTTGACTCATTTATTTGAAAGGTCTAACAAGACCACCCATTTCCGGTAACTCCATGTCATTTTTTTATTGGGTTTGCAAATCATATCTTAAATTGTCTAGTCCAGTTAAAATTAGGGCCCTAAACATTTTTTAAGCAATCCTAAAACTTTTTTTTTGGGGTCCTAAATTTTTTGAGGCAGCAGAGACTTAATGGCCTATGTCTAAGGCCGGCCCTGATCTTTAGAGTTTAAATTCTTTAAGATGGGCCAAGTTATGGTGAACCTGCATTTTAGAGAATGAGATTGCATTTTGAGAAGCATGCTATAAGCAATGCATGAATGGGGAATAGTACAACCTTGGAAACACATAAGACCGTCTCCACTGCTACGACATATGAGTTCTTGCAAGATAGTGGTTCCTTGTTGTACTCAACCTGCTTTTAGTGTACATTTCTTTTCTAATTAATATTTTTTCTTCCTGTACTGTGGTTTTGCACAAAATTCCATTTTTTTATCATCCTCAATTCTTCTACACTTTGTTATCAACCTGTATGAATGTCTCTCACATCTCCTATTTTGTAACATCTTTTCTAGCCATGTATGAGTTGGATTACATGATGTGACAATTCCATTCATTGTCTATAGGTGATGGACAATTGCATTCAATGCCCCCATTAACTGATGGTTTTGTGGCGTTTGGAGTGCTCATCTTGGTTTCTCCTGTGTTTTTCTTTTTCATTTTTCTTTTTGAGGTGTGTGTTTTAGCCTTTTAGGGAGTTGAGTTCCTTCATTTCTAGCGTGGTTAATATGCTCTCTCTCTCTCTCGGGTTTCTAAATTTGGACCTGAACTTTGTCCCTCTGGAATTTTATAGAATATTCTTTTGTTTTTGTGATCTCTTAGTTTCGTGATATTGGAATGGTATAGAGTGCCGCCTCTAGAGTTTTCATTCCATTTATGAATCACTTTCTTGCGGTAGATGAGAATTTTAGTAACGAGAAGTGCTTAGAAATAACAGGTTCATTCTTTTTGGATATGGATTTTTTCTCTCTCAATGCAGATGGACACGTAAATATAAACACTATTTTTGTGATTTTCTCAATCTTGAATGGAACTTGCTTCTATATTTCAATATTCTCCCAAAATTCTAATGTAGCCATCATGTTTCCATCATTCTACTATTTCGTACCCCTATATTCCTTTTTCTTTTGGTCTTCTTGAAAGAAAACAAAAAATTTGTGGTTGAGGGAGGGTAAGAAGTTGGTGTAAGAATTTGTGAGTGCTGTTTAAGTTATCTGCTGGCATATTCTTTTAGCCTACTGCAGGATTCGCAAGGCTAAGTACTCTTGTCCCATAAAAACTGATCTCCTACCCCTCATGAGCAGTCCAATGTCAAATATCAGTGAATGAAGATATTTTGTTTATTTCCAACGCCCCTTTCTCAAGAACTAGTTGATGCAAACGTGGGTTGCACGTGAATCATTTTAAATATCAAATATTATATGTTAGTGTTGTAAATATTATGAAATGATATCAACCACAACACTAGTACCTACAAGAGTTAATTGCATAATAAAGTCTTTAATCTAATAAGATGCTACAAACAATTAGCACATAACCAACTTACAAAATGATCCACATAACATATAAGAAGAAAGACAAAATTAAACCAAGAAATTAAATAATTATTGACATATACAATCAGGTTAAAAATCAGAAATAGTAACTTAAATGTTGAATCCTTCCAAGGTTGTTTATTCTAAAATAGTAAAAAATCGAGGGATTCTTCATTTTCTGGTAATTGTCCAACAATATTTTCAAAATTTTCCATTTGGCTTTCTGTTACAAATATATATTGCTGTATAGAAATGTAACGCCCCAAAACACACCCTGGATGACATTACATTCTAAAATCATTCATATCATGAGAGCACTAATATAATCCCTTAAGAAACAAGACTTCATTTGTCATCCACGAATATTTACAACATTATCCAAAAGAATAAGCCCAAGTCATGACTATTACATCTCAAAAATTAATTAAGGAAGCGCAGCGGAATAAACAAAAGAAGCTATACTACACAATGATCCAAAAAAATGTCCTAGTCTAGTACAAAAGGAAAGGAGGTCGCTCTGTGCATCCACCTCGGGATCCACACTCCTGTCCCGTGGAGTCTCCCAAGTAGCGGGCTCCTCGACCCTTACGTCCTCCTCCTCAAGCGGGTAATCTGAAAAATGTTAGCGATAGGGGGTGAGCACGAAGCTCTGTAGAAACATTCTCCCAAACCCATACAAGGTTTAGAAAAACATTTAAAACGGTCGGTCTCAATTTTAACATAACATAGACACATAATTTGAAATAAAGCAGTGACATTTAAAAAGGATCTCAAGTTTATTTAAAAATATTACTTAAATGAATAAATGAGCACCACATACAAATAATAACAATTAATTGTCATAACCAATTTTCAACAATTCTTTCGGTAGGTGGCATACTTTGTGGTAACCTCTACCCCCCCTTTTAGGTCACCTTTGATTCTCAAGCATCCTTACCGGGAATCTCTTGAAAATAGATGAGCATCCTTACATGGAACCTCTCTCCAATCATTACATTATTTCCCAAGCATTCTTACCGGGAACCTCTTGGGAAGGGGTGAGCATCCTTACAAGGAACCTCTCACTCATGTGCATCATAAACAACCCAACCAAGTATAAAATTCTAACATTTATCTCAATTTACAAGCATCTATCCAAAATTTCTAAAATATATCATATAACAATTTCACAACTAACTAAGAAAATACATGAGATCACAATAACATCATTTTTCTACCCAACATAAAGCACTAAGGTTTTGAAATCCATAATAAAGAAAGCATTTAGGAAGGAAATACATCACTCTCCAAAAATTAGGGTTTTAAAACTAGAAAGGAGATTTCATAGGTATTAAACCCTACTTTGTTCAAAACATGTAATCCTTGCAAAAAGCCTAAGAGAGGATGATTCCATAGCATATATATATCATTGATAGCCAAAACATACATATATAAATACCCTAGCCTCAATGTAAGTGAATGAGAGAAAACTCCTACCTTGAATCCTTAGCTTTGGAGTGAAGAACAAGAATATTTGATCTTGAATCACCCTTAAATCTCTTGTTTTTCCCTTCTTTTCTTCTTCTCTAATGCCCTCTAGGGTTTCAAGAGGTGTGGGGGTGTGAGGGGAGTGAAGGAAATGAGAGCAAATGAGATGAAAATGAGTTTAAAACATAGCCCCGAAAAATACTGTTCAAAGGCTGTTTTGGGTTTCTTCAAATTTACGGTTTTGCCACTAAGAATCTCTAATTTGATCCATATGACTACTCTAAGGTTTTTCGACGTTCCGATTCATTTTTAATGTTATTTTAACCTAAAAACATTTATTTTTATGATTTATCTCAACACCCAAGTCAACGTACACCCGAAATACTAAAGCTTTTATTTTACCCATCCGAATCGGCTATTAATGAAGTTTTGCGATGTTTGCAAATAAAATGTGATAAAGGGTGTTTCTTAAAGCCTTTTATACTTATTTGAAGCCTAAAAGTACACATTATTTTTATATTTTGATTTAGGATGCAAATAGAGACATTAAATGCAAAACAAAGCTAATTGGACTATTTCGACATCATTTCGTTATCTGAGTATAACTCTCTCATCCAAGCTCCGATTGAGATGATTCAAAATGCTATAGAATGATACGAAAGAGCTCTAAAACTTTCATGTTTTGAGTTTTGAGAGATATTGACTGCATTAAGGTCTAAATCGAGCTTGAAGTTGCAGCAGTGCACTGTTCATAGCCTGTCTTCGTCCTTTTTCCATTTCCAATCCATTCCTAAGCCAACCAAATCTATCCCAAACCTCTCCAACACATATTTCTACACCAAACCTATTTAATACAAGTTCTAGGACCTAAAATTTCATATTTTCACTTATTAAAATCAAATTTCAACTATTATTTTCACTAACATTTTAAATCTCTATTTTTCCAATCTACCAAATTCAAACACACATCACTACATATATTCACATTTTTTTTTATCACAATTATTTACTACATATCTATATACATATATAAAAGAAAATGCCAAAACATATATATTTGAGACCTTTATTAAAAAATATGCGGAACTGTTTCTTGAGGAAGAAAACAAATGGTGCCTCAACAAATATTGCTTTTCAAGACTTACATACTACACATGCCATCACCATGAGAGTTTCTGTTTAGAAAAAACTGACCGGTGGATCAGCCAATGGAACAGATCAAATATGTTATAGAACTCAAGAATGATTTGTATACATGACAGTTGAGATAGAAGAGATCTATCACTTTGGTTGTTTGACAGATTAAGGATTGACAATCGTTAAAAAAGAAAAATGCTAAATAGACTTAAAAAATTGACTTGAAAACTTGACTTGATGAATCACTATCATTGAAAAGGTAGTGGGTTCCAATAAATATTGGACCCACAGTTAAATCAATGACAAATATAAAAATTTCATCATCAAGTCAGATTTTTAAGTCTGTGTAGTATTGCTCTGTCAAAAATTGGCGCAGAATTTGCACATAGAGCATTCGGCAAACATTTATTATTAGAATTTGTGTAGGCTAGATGTTAGTTCAAAATGTGAGTTTTTGGCTTTGCTATCAGCTGTTTGTAGAAGCAACAAGAATATGAAAAACTTGGAATGGTTAATGAGTATATGTAATGCTGACTAATGCAATAGTTATCTTAATAAATGACCGAACTAATTTTGAATAATAATTATGAGTAAACAAGAAAAATAAAAGTTTTCATGATTGGTGCATGTACATATAATTAATTTTATGCTGAAGGAGGTCAAAAGACAAGAAAGATATAATGGACATTAAACTTAAATGAGTAGTTAAGTAGGTTGTGTGTTTTGTGTATAGGCGTTTGTGAAAGTAACATGAATATGAGAAGTCTCAAATAGTTAACCAATATATTTATGTGTAATTGAATTCTAGTAGTTATTTGGTGATGGAGAAAATGGTTATTAAGACATTAGTCGAGGGTAAAAAGAGAAAACAAAAGTTTTTTGCTTAAGGTACTTTTATAGAGATAGAGATAGAGATAGAGATTTTATAGTAAAAGAGATAGAGATAATTTGGCCGTGCATGCAGAACATTAGATATGGATTCTAACAGAAAAAGAAACGGAAACTGTCAGCCCCTCTGTGTGTATGTTGTCTTGTTCCCCTGTTTTTCCTTACTTATTTCCTTTGTATTCATGCCTTGTCTTGGTTAATATTTTGCTGTAGGACTGACAGAAGAAATTGCCTTATGTTTGGAGTATAACAGAGTGCGTACAATTTCATATGCTCATCTAGTCTAAATCTTCCTGTTCTATGTAGGATGCACATGAATTTTTGAACTACTTGCTAAATGAACTTGTTGACATACTTGAGAAAGAATCCCATGCTACAAAGAGTGATCTAGAAGCCTTATCACCATCTGAAAAGGTCGCAAATGGACCAAAGAATGCTCATGCCAATGGTACTAAAAAAGAGCCTCTGGTCACCTGGGTGCACAAAAATTTTCAGGTGACTTTACTCGATCAACTCATCAGTTTTCTTCATAGTAGCTTGTGTTAAGTAATTAGAGGAAGATGATATAAATATGTGCTTCTGCATTCTTTTACATGTGGCTGCACGTATCAGTTTAAGTGGCTGTTCGGTTGTCGACAAGTTTCATGCCTTAGATTGTCCGACTCCTGCCTATTTTATTTCTTTGACCCCAAAAAGGTGGCTGGGATTGTTTCATCTACTTATGTGTGCTTAGTCTGCTATGTTGAACAATAAAACCGTAGTTCCTCCAAAAGCATGCAGATGTTGTTAGTATTTGCATTGCCTCTGAGGAATCTCATTGTCCTGGATTGGCTATTCTTCAGGGTATCCTCACAAATGAAACGAGGTGCTTGCGGTGTGAGACTGTGACAGCAAGGGATGAAACATTTTTGGACTTGAGCCTTGATATTGAACAGAACAGTTCGATTACAAGCTGTCTGAAAAATTTCAGTTCTACCGAAACTTTGAATGCAGAAGACAAATTCTTTTGTGACAAGTGCTGCAGGTAGGTGGCACTTGTGCATTGTATTTTGGTTATGGGTTGTTCTGTTACGTTGTTTTTAGTTAGCTCTTTCCAATTGGATGAATCAGTGACTAGTCAATGTATGTGGCCTTATAGTGCTTACACAAGGGTTAAGCCAAGCATTGATAATGAAACAGTTGCCTTGGTGTGCGAAACCATATAGACGCTAAAATATGGCTTCACATAGGATGAATTACATGTTAACAAACTAATTTTGTACTTTTATATTTCTTCATGATGTTGTTACTTCCAACTCATGAAGTTTCCCTATTTATTTTTATTATAGAGGATGCATTTCCACATCTTCTACACTGGATTCATTTTTTTGTTCTTCAAACAGTATTTCGTTCAAATTCATGTTACTTTCCTCCGGCTTTGAATGTGCCACATTTTACGGAACATTTTTAGAATTTCAATTACTGAATGAACTTGTTGAGCATCCTGCTGTAACTCCACCTTAACAGACTTGTACAGATCCCAACCCTACTCCACCCCCCCCCCCCCCCCCCTCCTTCCCCAAATAAATAAATAAAAAGAAACCCCCACCCGGCTTTAAATAAGAGTTTAAATGAGAGCATCCTGCTGAACTCTTGATGGTTTCATAGAAAGATGCAGACACTGGTATACTGAATTAAGTAGTTGATCATCTAGTATGAAACAGGAAACAATGAGAACTAGAGAAAAATGCTTTAGTATTTATGATATAAACTCCTTGTTTAGATAACTACCTGTCATGCCTCGTTCAAAAATGTAGCTTGCAGGAGGCCCAGAAGAGAATGAAGATAAAAAAGGCACCTCACATTCTGGTCATCCATTTAAAGAGATTCAAATACATTGAGCAGCTTGGCCGATACAAGAAGCTATCTTATCGGGTTGTCTTCCCGTTGGAGCTGAAGTTGAGCAATACCGTGGAGGATGCAGATTCCGAGTACTCCTTGTTTGCTGTAGTTGTCCATGTTGGGAGTGGACCCAACCACGGACACTATGTCAGCCTTGTGAAAAGCCATAACCATTGGTTATTCTTTGATGATGAAAATGTGGAGATAATCGACGAGTCTGCTGTGCAGACTTTCTTTGGGTCAGCCCAGGAGTACTCTAGCAACACAGATCATGGGTACATCTTGTTCTATGAGAGGTTGGCTGCTGGCAGCACAAGCTGAGAGAGGAAGTCCTGTTTTCGTATGAGTCTATACTTTCCAATTTTGAATACATTTCCCTTCTGTTCATCATTTTTTTCTCGTCGCTTAATCAATCCCTGTTGAAAAATCTGGGAATATTCTGATATGACTAGTGAGGTGAGATGGCAGTGTGAAAAATGTATACCTAGGTGTTTGGTGGTTGCAATGTATAGCTGATGGCGGAAGCTCAGTAATCCATGTTTCTTCAACAATAAGAAGAGAAGGTATTGTATTTGGTAATGTTAGAACTTCATACACATATTCTAGTGGCCGAGGGTGTTTTACTAGCAATAGAAATGCATTGGTTTTCAGTTGCTACCAAATTTGGATGGTTTTGATTTGTAATCGATCGTGTGTTGGTTGAAATTCACTGTTGAAGTTCCAAGGCAGCCATGGGAGATAAATGGTGAGAATTTTGCCTGCTAAATTTTTGTTGCCGGTTGTTTTGGATTGGAATTCATTTGAATTTCAAATCACGTTCATAAACGAGGGTGAACTTGGCGTAGCAGCAAGATTGTTTTGTTATAATATGTTCTTCAACAGTTTTAGTTGTAGAAATAATCTCTTTGCATTGGGCCTAGGGCAGTGACACTAGTTAAATCACTTGTGCAATTCTAGGTTTTACAGAAGGAGCGGACCAATTTATTTTTTATGGGAAACTAATAATGGTGGTAGGCCTATATATATAATGGAAACTGCCTTATTTAGTTTAGTTCTTATTTAGAGAGGCATGATTTCTCAACAAATATGACTGGCTGTTATGAAATTGACAAAAATATTAATAAAATATAAAGAGAGTAATACACAAAATATATTAAAAATAAGTATTTCAAAAACTTAATTTATCAATGTGTTGAACTTTGAGATCACACTAGTCTCTTCTTTTTCTTTTTATTTATTTCATTTTTGTGTCTCAATTGAGTACAAGGGGTGGTTGCAATTACAATTGGGGTGGTCATCCACATAATGAATGTTGTGTTTATAATATTCTCCCCCTTAGATGACCACTATATTAAGATAGTGTTGGACATATGAAAGTTATCTCATCAAAATCTTGCCAATAAAACCCATTGGGATAAAACCTAGACAAAAAAAAAAAGTGTAGCGTGCAAATTGTCCTATATTTTGATTTGGATGCTTGCCCTGATAATAAAGATAAATTGAGATGGGTACAAACTCGATGCATTCCAATATCGTATACAAACTTTTTGAATGTTGATTCCAGTAAAACTTTAGTGATTAGCTAAACAAGATTATTACTTCAACGTATCTGCTTTACTTCAATTTCACAACTTTACTGGAGTTCATGAGTATAGAAGAATTTTGGTGATATATGGTTGGTTCTATCATCTTTAATAAATCCTCCTTTGATTTGTGCAATGCAAGCAGTAGTATCTTCATACATCACTTCAGATGTGATGGACTACAAATCTCAGTCATATACATTTATGGCTTGTTTCATGGAGTGTCAGTATCTCGAAATGATTAGAGGACGTAGCAATCAAAGTTTATTTTGTAGATCGTCATGAGATTGTTGCATCACCACGTGTGAATACATACCTAATTTATGAATGAACCTTGTGAGGATCAGAGAGATATCCAGAATCTGCATATCCTACTAGATTTAGGTCATTGACTGATTGCATCGAGTATAACAAACTAAAATCTATAGTTCCATAAAGATAATGTAGGATGTGTTTTATGTCATTCCAAGGAATTGGCGCAGAACTAAATCTTGTCAATAGATTAACTGTAAATTTTATATCATACCTACTGCATTCCCAAATATAATAAATAAAGAAAGTGGTAAGACCCTTGCAAAGTTCCCTAACAGCATAGAGCTTGTGAAGCTTGGACCCAATTAAGATCCGAACAATTATAACAAAGCACCTATTACATATGATGATAAGGTACTTTCTAGATATCAAATGATCGATCGACCATTGGAGTACTTAACGGATATGTTTTATCCATATTAAATTGTTTCAAAACTTTTTTGGTATAGGTTGTTTGGTAGATAAGAATTCCGTTGAACTTATGCTCGATTTGTCGGCCAAGATTATATTTTGTTTTTTCAAAATCTTTCATCTCAAATTTTCTTTTCAAATATTTAATAATTTTTGCTAACTCTTTAAGAATTCCAATCATATTCATATCATCAACGTATACTTCAACAATAGTAAATCCAAAATCTAACCTTTTTATAAATAAACATGAGCATATAAAATTTTTAACATACCCTTCTTTATCAAATACTCACTAAGACGATGATGTCACATTCTTTCATATTACCTTAATTCATACAAGGATCATCTTAATTTAATTGAGTCCATACTTCATGGTTTTGATATATTTGTTTTAGGCAATTTTAGTTCTTCAGGGACTTTCATAAAATATCGATATCTAAAATTTCATATAAATATGTAGTAACTAAATCCATAAGACGCGTGTCGAGTCTTTCTAAGACTACCAGACTAATCAAATACCGAAATATAATAGCATTCATTATTGATGAGTATGTTTCTTCATAATCAATCTCAAGTCTCTACAAGAACCTTTGTGCCACTAATCATGATTTATGTCTTGTGATCTCGTTTTTATCATTTCTTTTTTGAACGAATATCCATTTATAACCAATTGATTTTATACCATCAGGTGTTAGTATTGCAAGTCCAAACACTCCACACATTTCTAGAAAATTCAATTCTGCTTGGATTGTATCTTTCAACTTTAGCCAATCATGTCTATATTGGCATTCAACAATAAAGTGTGGTTCGAGATTATCATCATTTAAGATTTCAATAGCCACAGAAAAAGAGAACATATCATTAATAACCCTTTATGTGCAATCTCATACTTCCTTTATGATTTCATAATTAATGAAAATTTATTTATTCACAGATAGATGCATCTCTTCAAGAGTCTATGTCTCCGCAGGAGGTATGATTTAAGATAATGCGGGTGTATCTTGGTTTACAACAACTTCTTCGAGAGTCATCTATGATTGGCCTTTAGTTTTCCTCGTTCGGGGAGCTAAATCTTTCGAACCTATGGGGTTGTCCACGCTTCAGGCGTGCAACTGATGTTTCATTTGCTTTCTTTGATTTTTCAATTGCAATATCAATATTTTTCAGAATGTTTATGGCAGGTACATGTAACTTGGTTACTTTTGCTGCTTCAGTAAATGCATCATGTACTTAACTAGTAATTTCTAAAGATGTATGATTCTTTGTACTTCAATTTCACATTGAAAAGTATGTGGATCAAAATGAGACAGAGATGGTACATTTCAAGAAAATTTATGCTAATTTTTTAGGCGGCGAATTTCCTCTCCCTAATGATAGAGAATGTGTCTCATTAAAATGGCAATCTATAAATCTTACGGTAAAAATATCACCAGTTAAATGTTTAAGATACCTGATAATTGAAGGTGAATCATACCTAATATATATTCCTATTCAACATTAAGAACCCAGTTTTGTACATTGTGGGGTGTAATTAGGACATGTCCATCACAACCAAAAGTTTGTAGATCATAAATGTTTAGAGGTTGACCAAACACATGTTGTAAAAATGAATATTGATGGTGTGCACTTGGTTTGATGCGAACTAAAGTGGTTATAGGTAAAATGGCATGTCATCAAGCAAAAATGGGTAACAATGTCCACATAAGTAAAACTCGGCAATCAATTGAAGTCTTTTGATAAAAGACTTAACTAGACCATTTTGGGTATGAGTATGGGTAACTAAACGTTCAACATCAATCTTAACAGACATGCAGTAATCATCAAATGTTTGGGATATGAATTCACTAGCATTATCAAAACAAATTGTCTTGATTGGATAATCTAAGAATTATGCCCGCAATCAAATTATTTGGGCAAGGAAACGAACAAAAACAACGTTACGAATAGATAGTAAAGAAATATGTGACTACCTCGTTAATGCATCTATCAAGACCATAAAATACGAAATGGTCAACATGATGGATAAATAGATCCACATATATCCCCTTGAATTCGTTGGAGAAACTTGGGATTCAACATTGACCTCCACAGGAGATGGTCCAATAATGAATTTGACCTTGTGAACATGCAATACCTGGATAATCACTAGACAAAAGAATCTTTTAGTTCTTTAATGGATGTCCATGTGAGTTATCGATGATCTGATGCATCATTATTGACCCTGAGTGACCTAGTTGGTCATGTCAAAGTATACAAAAATTTGGATCAATGAGCTTCACGCTCATCACATTATTTGATTCCAATGGTTGTAGAGTACAACCCATAAGATAGAGCGGGAAGTTTCTCTAATATCAGTTTCTGGCTATAAATAATTCCAGTAATACAGAGATATTATGTATTACAATCATTCAAAGTGTCAATATGAAATCTATTATGAGATGTATCTTTAAAACTCAACAGATTTCTTCTAAATTTGACTGAATATAAAATGTCATTGATTTTGAATATTGTTCCATTTGTTAACATAATTATTGCTCTTTCGGAGCCTTCAATCAAGTTTGCAGAACCTGATATTATGTCTATATTAGCTTCAACTAATGTCAATTTTGAGAAAAAAAATAGTTATCTCGAAGAATAATGTGCATTGTTCCGTTATCTACCAAACATGCATCTTCTAGATACGCAATCATTAGCAACGACTAACCAAAAGGTGAACCAAATTATCAATGCTTTCATTTAATTACGTATGCAAATATTAGATCACGTAAAGATATTTGTCGAAAGTTTTTATGTTATAAGATACAGACCATAGAAAATAAGATTATTTCTTCTAAATTTTTTATGGCTCTTGAAATAAATATTTTGCAAACTCTTATTGCTATCTCTATTGTATTCTTATTCTATGGGTAATAATAATTTTTTTTATTTTATATGTTATTCTATCACAACGGTCATAATTCCTACAAAATTATTTGATATAATATTTATCAAAAATTCGCTTGTAATTTACAATCAATTTTCTGGTAATATATATATATATTATTACTAGTATAACAATTGGATAAAAAATTCGAATCTGTGACCTCCACTTTTTTAGGATGGGGTTAACCATCTTAGTTAAACCCATAGGTACCTGCCCTCCTTGTGCCTTGGTGGCTAGGGATCTGTAATTCTCACCGTAAGGTCAGGGATTCAAGGGTAGGTAGAGAGAGGAGAAGAGAGAGAAAAATACAAGGTATTCTAAAATACCTCTTTTAAAAAATAAAAATAGTTAAACCCATAGGCCTACACAGATTCAACTAACAAAAATATTTAACTATGCATTCATTATAGATTATGAATAATAGGATAAACAACATAGAATTAATCAAGATGGACATTCTCAACACTAATGAAATAGTCAGTGTTGCTACCAGGATCAATAAGGAAATCTAAAATATCAAATTGAGTTATATCTACTAGTTCATTTTGATGGTTAGTAAAATTGGTTTCTATCCTCTTGTCCTTCTCTTTTATTGATGACCGGTAAAAATTCACTAGATATTAGGATGTACGACTGGTACGTACCGATAGAAAATTTCTTATTGAACTTTGGGAGGTTGATTCAGCAAAGGTTTCCCTTTGTTTGATTTTGTTTCTCTATTTGCCACTTCTAGTGGTAAGGTGGGTTTGTAGGACTATTTTGATGCCAAGTATTTACTTGTAAACATGATCATGACCCCGGTGCAAGGTCGCATTCATTTCATGGAATGTTTTAGAACCAATTGAACGAGTATTGTGATTTTTCAGTAGAAGTTCATTAATTTTCAAGATCACACTATTCTTTTTCTTTCTTTCCCTTTTTATTTCTTTCGTTCTTGTGTTTCTCGACGGACATTTGGGTGCCTTTTATGGGCAAAGTTTACTGAGGTGAATAAATGGGGTAATTGTCGTCATCACAGTTGGGATGGTCATCCATTCCATCTCATGAATGTTGTGTTTATAATATTGTCCTCCTACTTACGGATTAAGAATGTGTTGGTTTATAGACAATGTGAAATATATAATAAAAAAATACATGAAGAATTTAAAAAATATATATAAATATACATCTATATAACTCTAATATTTTTGGCATACTTTTCGTATGTCTGTTATCCCGGTTTCATATTCTGCCTCTGCTACTTAAGATAGACCCGTTTCCATTTAATATTGTCCCAGTTTCTTTAAGGCAGCAAATTTTGCGAAACACTCTCTCTCTCTCTCTCTCTCTCTCTCTCTCTCTCTCTCTATATATATATATATATACATATCACCATAACAATTGCAAGTTTGAGTCCAGGAATAAACTTTTTCAAAATGACAATAAAGCTATCCACCATGGACCTTAAACAGTAGCAGAAGATCGCCTTATCAGACCTGAAATCATGGTGGCCAAGGCCGATCCAAACCATTATCTTTTAGTCAAGTTGATTGAAAAAATATAGTATTAACTGGTGACAACTTACATTATTGGTTCCCCTCACCCCAAAAAACAAAAAAAAAAAACCCGAAAAAAAGATACACACTGCACAAGTTTGATATTTGCATCGTCCCCCTCAATTCTCTATAAATCCTATCCACTCGCAGACATACATACATACGGTTAAATATGTCGGGTAAATCAAATTTACAAATTAACATTAGTGCAACCTATGATACAGTTCTACACCAGTCAACAGAAGCAGATAAATAGGATTTCACAAGAGGATCGAATGTGAGAGATAAACTCACGACGTTGTATTCATGAGGGTGTCATCATCTAGTAGCGCTTCAATATCAATCATATCATCATAATACACTGGCTCTTCTGAACTGCTAGGAACATTATCATACACAGCCTGCGACAGGAATAAAAAGACAAAATGTATGAGTTCAGGTACATCACCTTATATCAAAAAAAGAAAGAAAAAAAAAATCTACCCAATCTAAGGATTCAGCAAGGAAAGCTATGTTGAACTGCAGATATCTTTGAATGATAGTAAGTAATCTTTAATTTCCAACGTGAGATTTAATATTATGGTTATTGTCGACACAACAATCTATGAGAGCTATTAAATCCTATGATACGAGTTTCAAGATTTATCGAGTTTAATTGCATAAGCATGTGTGCTATTAAGTAGGCGATGTACTCTTTATCAACAATGCCTTAATTGATTTACTATGCTGCCATCAGCTCTGTGCTGCTTCATGCTGTTAGCAAGAACCAAAATTGACATTGTGAGCCCATGAGGTAATGAATCCTATGTAATCTCTTAATAGTCACAAGTGTGCGATCCAAATTTGACAAAAATCTGGGAGGCCTAAAAGAGAGTTTGATCTAACCCTCTCATTTTTCAAAGAGAAGATGCAATACTTGGTATATCTAAAAAACACAGTTTCAAACTCAGAAAGGTAGGATGCACATTCTAAGTGGCTTTCGAATCATTAGAAAGTGAAAATACCTTAGTTTCCTTCATCTCTGACACAACATTCAGCAGCCTTCGGTACTGATCTCGTCCCTCTGGATACTGAACCATGGACTTCACCCTATTGAGGGCCTTTTGCAACCTTTCTTCTGTTTGCTTTCTGCCTTCTTTCAGGAAATCATAGTCATCCTCCTTTGATGAGACGTCTAGCATTCTGTGGCCCTCAGTTAGAGCTTCTGGTTTGAATCCACGCAAACCGCTTCCTTTTCTCCTCCAGCGCAAAATTACCTTCTCCAAAATTCCAACAGACCATACAATAGGCTTATAATTCTTCCTCACCTGGTGCCCTCTTACATGGGCCTTTTTAGCATAAAAGCCAAGAGTTAGAGTTTTAGAACTCGACTTAAATAAAGAAAAAATATGATAAAAAAAATTACGTGAAACACGTAAGGGCAGATAGGTAGAGAAACTTCTGTAAAAGGACAGTAAATTCATTGCACCTGGATTTTAACAATTTGCTGCCGGATTATCAAAAAATCTTTTCTGCCCTTCCAACTACGGAATTTATTTTGTATTCGTATTGCAGCAGCATGCACCGGCTCCTCATTTTGTCCTGCCCTTTTTTTTTTCACAGCAAGAAGTGAAAAAGCACGTTCCTCCTCCGACATTCCAAAGTCGTCGTCACCATACTCTTTTAGCTGCTTCTTTTGGAATGATTGCATCCTGAAGACTTGATGAATGCGAGCAGCAGCTTGAGTAGCATTACAGACGGCTGCTAATGAATCCTTCAATGATAATCCATGTAGCAAGTCCCCATCACTGACTGGAGTTGCAGTCCTCTCTGTAACTGTTTGAACAGCTTTTACCCCAGAAATCTCTCCATCATCACCATCCTTGGCATCCTTCAGCTTAAGTGATGAAAGGTGGAAGCTCAACGCAGATTCTGCAAGATAACCAGCAATTCCTTTGTGTCCATTGCTAGAAGCTAGGTCTGCAGGCGTTCTTCCTGAAGGATACGTTGGGGTAGGATCCGTCAATGCCCCAGGATCTGCACCTAAAGAGATGAGGAACCCAACCATCCGCTCTCTAACATCACAAAAGTTCAAGGAAAACACCAGGAGGAAAAAGATGGCTCATCAGAATCAAAGTCAAATTTGGTAGTCCATAATGTTGTCTGAGGAGAATTTCAAAACCCATCACTCGCATTCTCAAACCACCAACTAAATTACAACATTATAAAACCTGAAAACTTTCTTTTCTGGGAGGTTTTCTTGTCCTCATAAATATAAAACAAGTGGTAGTGTCAGAAGCACAATCAATTTAAAATATAGAAGTAAAAATAAATTCACGATCTCTTACCTGCCACAAGAAGCCGCCCAATGAAGTGCCGTCCCTCCATTAACATCACGGAAATTGACTTTAACACCCGCTGCTATTGTAGGTGGTATAGCCCAGTCGTAACCGAGAGCAGCTGCAAAATGCAGCACTCCTTGGCCACCCTCATCTAACACACTAGGACCTTTCCCACCTTCAGCAGCCTTGTGAAGGAGCCATACATGCAACTTCTCCTTTAGCAGCTTTTGTAGCAGTTGCTCCTTTACTTTTTCAGCAGAGAACTCGTCCTCAGCTGTGAGCTTTAGCATCTGGTCCCACTCATTGTTGTCCTCTTTCACTAATGAATTGATTTTACTGCTCAACTCAGAAATGTCATCCACACTACTCGAGACACAGTTTTGGGGGCTGACCGATCCCAGAGACAATAATTTTGCAAACCGCATATGAAGAAGATTTTCACTAGAGCTACCACTATCCTCATCTAGAACACTGCAAATGCGGTACTCAAATTCTCGCACTTCACTACATGCTAACCTATTGGAACTCGTTACGTAGAAAGGAACCCTCCCAACCTTGTGAAGGGGTGTATGACAACGGAGAACGCCATCTGCTATAACCTCCGCCGGAACTTCCAATTCCCCAAACATGCATGCCCATTTGTACTTCTCTACATCTTGTCGACTCTTCAAGAATCTCCCCATAATTAGGACCTGGTTGTGAAATATGCAAGGAACCATTATAAATTAAACCATTTAAATACCATTTTCTTGATAAAATACTTTTGCAAGGAAGCACAGCTATACATATTCACTTGGTCATTGGATGAACAGCTAAGACCCAAAAGTCAAATCAATGTCACAGCAGTGTATGACAAATGATGCAAAATGTACCTTAACTTCTGATCCAGCATATGCCCAATTGGGTGAAAAATCAACAATGCTAAAGAGCTGATCCTGGGAGAGAGATGGACCCAGCATGTAGGTGTCTAAGTGCACCTCCGGGGAAATACTAGAATCACCAACTCCATCTTCACTTCCAACAGTATCCCAGTAGGCTTCAGAGCCAGTCTGCATATGTGTCTCATTTACATCTCCTAGTTCTTTACTCATCCATCGGTCAAAGCTGTCAAGCTTCTTCAGACCTTCCCTTCGGACACCATCTAACAATGGCTGTTTCATAGCTGAATAATCGGCTTTACCCTCTACACTCAGATCATTCTCCAATTTTGATTTCAGAAGGCTTCCACTTTCATCATACATAAGCTGCATTTGAAGGTCATTCTGCATAGGATGCTTATTTTGGTCAGTAGAACGTTTATGGCGAGGCTCCAGTGAATTCAGTAAATCCACACAGTTAATTGCTTGTTCATGAAATCTAGAGGTGAGATCGAATGCTGAGTCTGGATGCAACTTCTGATCCATCGACCATTTGGATATGTTTGAAGAATCACGTTCAAAATTCTGTTTGCAAGTCAAGTTAAAGCCCAAACCCACTTCTATGAATTCAAATAGGCAAAAGATAGTCTTTACTGTCTTCGTGCACAAGCATGTAACTTTATACGGAGAAAAACAACCATTTATTATGAACCTTGTGGATAAAAATTCAAGCTATAAAAAAGTTGTGAAAAAAAGGATAGCAGAGATCATGCTCAAGTGTATCGCATGCGAAATCTTTCCTAGTACACTACAGTCAAAACAAAACCTAAGAACAATCAGGGTCCTTTGTACACAGTAACCAGAAACAGTACCAGAACATAGACCCATATAAATCACCTCTTGATAGATGGAACATCTTTATACTCAGTCACAGACAGATGCAGTACACAATGCACCAACCAAATCTAATTGACTTTTTTATCGGAAAAAAAATGTCAGTCAACATAAACAAGATCACCTAGTCAAAAACTTCCATCAATATAAACTTGCCTTTAAAATTTCCAAAGTTGACTTCTATTAATTCAAGACCTCAAGTTTTGTTGCTAGATCTAATGATTCTCCTAAAAAAGAAGAGAACAGAAGAAGAAAAAGAAACAAAAAGGAAATACTTGGCAATATAGTCTGTTTAATGGAGAGAAAAACAAGAAATGAATCACTTAAACCCATGTTTAATGTAACTTTACATTGTACTAATTGTGAAAATTTGATAAAGGAAAAAGGGAACTTGTGCTATACTGCTGAGCTTCCATCCAAATCCCTTAATCTTGATGAGAGCTTTGTGGAGAAACTTAAAAATTCTCTATTCTATTTGCCTATCTTCCTTGCCAAAACCCTAGCTGTACTTATTTGAGATTTGTCCATTTAGAGCTGAGCTGATCTAAAGAGAAATTTATTTGGCATAGTGAAGCTCCATCTGAAGTCAAGAGCTTCATTACATACATCAATCTGAAGACAGTTAAAACGGGCGACCTGCTTTAGGATAGAAAAAGAAGTTATCATACTTAACAAGAGTTCAATTTGGGAGCAAATCCACTATTATGCAGGCAGAAAGGAACAGACAAGATGCTACAGGCTTTGGTTCCCAAGCTTCTACAAGAATTGGGACAGGAGCAATTTTAGTACCATAGACATGGAACTTTGAGAACATTCTGACAGGACCAAAATTTATGATCCCTTCATGTTTCAGTTGCACATCTCACACATGACCATGCCAATGTCCTAAAACATTGGAAAGTGGTTTTATCCTCTCATCTCGCAACTCTATGTTGCAAAGACATGGGCACGACATAGTAAAAATGCTTTAACACTGGATTCTAGAAAAAATGATAACAAACAAAGAAACAACTTGTGCATTATGTCTGTAGAATGCACAACCCCCTCTCCTCCCTCACACCATCACTTCTTTGGCATCTTAATAATGTTCATAAACTGCTTAACATTCAAATGATTCTTGTATAACCTTTATTTGATATATACTATTTTCCAGGCAATTATGATAGAAGAAAGTTGTATTCCGTTTGGCGTTGAAGGGTTCCACCTTCCAATTGTCGGCCAAGTATCTGAACTCAGAGGTTTTAAAACAGATCTAAGAGATTCTGAATATCTTTCATTTCCTAAGAAACATCCATGTTTTTTAGCTACCCATGGTTCAAGGTCACGATTCTGACTCTTGACTTAGGGGATACTGAGACACATTGGCTGCTGCATCGCAAAATGGTATTAGGCAATTCACACGAATTACTACATAGGAAAAGAAGTTGAACATGACAAGAAAACCAGGCCAAATCATAACAAGATGGTGATATTAACAAGATGGTATCACGGGATTGCAAAACAAGGACCCTGATGAGTCACCCGAGTTCTTCGAAAAGCCTCCAAGTCAACCATGAGTCAAGTGAGACTCATAATTTATAGGGAATGTTTATTGGTCTCAGAACAAGGTGTAGAGTCATATACGACTCAACATAATTGTATCAGCCAATACTTTGAATCATGCAGCAGTCATCTAAGGTATTCATCCATTTATTTAGGTCTCGCCATCTCAGGAACTGGCCAATACAGAACTTCAATTTTGACTGGGTGCCACCCTAGGAATTATCTTAGTTACATGATCACTGAAGTATCACGTTGAATTCAAAATGAAGAAACTGTGGTGACATCAGTGCCACATCATTATCCTCAGCAGGAACAAGCACAGTGAAAACAGAAATTAGGAAGAACATATATTCATGATGTCAGCATCTGGATGCCTCCCATGGTTCAATGAGACATCTCACAGAAAAATTTGTACCTTATTTAATCTCTCAAGTACAATTTCAAACAAGTGGTTATGTACATATGCTAATTTTGTAAGCCACGCTCCTACAGGTTAGGGGTTGTGTTTGGATGTGGAATGCTTTTCTGTCTACTGAGACATTATTCCTATTTGGAAGTAGTTCCTTCCTCAGCCCTCTTTTCTTCTCTGGCATTTCACAGCTCTCCCTTCCTCCTACATCTCTATTTGGAAGTAGTTTCTTCCTCAGCCCTCTTTTCTTCTCTAGCATTTCACAGGTCTTCATTGTGGAATGACTTACCAGGTTAACCTAGAGAAATCAACATCACCTGACTTTGTTGTTACAAGCTTTACCTCCAACAGACCATACTGAACCGTCACAACATGGCTCTTATGGCATCAAATTTTCCACATGGTTTCTGTTATGTGATACATTAAGTTGTTAAACTTAAGGCACTTCCCTTGATGTAAAAGTAATTAAGGGATCTATAAGAACTAATAAAAGCAGCTTTGTCCACCATGTTGCAAAAGAAGCTTCTATTTTGCAAATTACTAAGTGAATGTATACGAATCGATCTAAAACATAAGTAACCTATCTTCCAATCGATAGCAATTAAATCGAATGCAACAACTATGGACAAAAAATACGTATCCATTTTTATATTCACTTGTAAGATTAAGAAATCTCTTGCAAATGTAACAGTCCCTATCAGAATTGCAAGTAGTTGTCAGTCAGATATTTACCACAGGTGTTGCCCTAGGAAAATGGACTATAACTTAAAGTATGAAAAGTGTGCGACACATGGTATTTTAAATTAAATGTACCTGCCACTCCTCTTGCCCAGAAGGACGGCACCCAAACTCCTGCTTTGTACCACAGCCATCTGGGTAAATGTTCCCCATAATCTCATATCCTTGTCCAGGTATACCACCCATGGTACCAGGTTGGGTAGAGGAAAGTGATGCCTGAAAATGGACAGATTGATATCCAGCACTACTATTTTCCCACACTTTCTCCCATGATGTGGAGTCAAGGTATTTCGTGTCCTCATATGTCAACCCAGTATCAATACTGTTTTTATCTTTATCGCCTTGGGAAAGGGAGACAAAATCTGTCTCAGAAATATCTGGAAATTTTCCTCGATAATCATCTGTTAACATATTCCAATATTACCACCTTTTGACAATTGGCAGTGTTCAACTATTGAAAAGCAATACAGGAATGAAAAAAGTAAAATATAAAACAAAACAAAGAGGTGAGGGTATTGTACTTGAGATAGGCACAGGATAATACGGGATGGAGAGTCCATCAAATTTGTCCATCCCAGGCGGTTGTAAGTCAAGAAAAGAGCCAAATTTGGAACTTGCTTGGTGATTATATGCTGGAACAAATTTCAATAAAAGTGAACGACCGAAGAAGAAAAAATCATTTGACTCCTCATCCACAAAGTAAATGACACTATTAACACACAATAACATTGATTAATGAATTAGGAACAGAAGTGCCCTTTGATAAACCTGAAAACTGCACACTCTTACACAGTTGAACTAATTCTTTTATCAAACGCACCTGACTCAGCATCTTCATATTCTGAGGCCTGGGCACTGCTGAGGCTATTAGTATCTGTAACTTGTGACGTTACTTGGTAATTATATGGGTGAAATTTTGAAGACACAGAACTGTCCACCTCGGAGTTGAGTACATCTTCGGATTCTTGGGAATTTGGAACAGCTTCTTCAGCACCTCTAATGCGGTTAAAGTTTGTCCTATTTCCCTGACATCAAAAACAATTTGCAAACGAGGTTTAAGCAGAAGGAAAAATTACAATTTCATACAAATATTCAGGAAACGACCCAGAGATGTCATATGAAAGGATCTACATAGGACACGGAGGCCTGATTTCAAAGCAATACTCCATTCAAGTCGCATGACCAAAGTTCAAAAAACATGAATATGAGAATTGTGTCGACAATGTGATCGTATCAGCTCCTGTGTGAAATCTATCAGATTTTGAAATATAAGTGGTTTAAAGAAAAATCATGATGCATTGCTCCAAATACAGAAGTTAGTAAAAATCCACTTTCTTAGCGAGACTTTAGTAAAATAGCTCATTTTTTAGAATGTTTACACATTACCAAGAAGTCAATAACTAATTGTTTGGATTATCCTATCAATTCTAAAAACAAACCATGAACACAATATAAAATCAACATGGGATTATCAGAATTGGGTTTAGCCTTAGCAGGTTTGGTTAGTAAAACTGGTTGACCTGTCAAACCCGTCAAATAAGAGGGTCAACACAGCCGACTGAACACGACACAAACTTGGCCAAAACACGGTTATACAAGACACAAACCCAATACATTATGAACCCGACTATCCATGATTAAAAATGAGTGAGGTATTTGTTGAGCAAAGTTTGACATGATACGACCCACATGAATAGGAAGCATGAAATGACATGACCCAATGGACGACCTAGTGTAAATAGAATGTAAATAAAACGAAAGAAAAAACAGAATGAATAATAAAAAGAAAAGAAAAGAAATAATAAAAGGAAGCGTGTAAATTATAACCTTTACTTCTCGGTAATGGACAAGAACTATGTGCGAGAGCTCCCTGCAGAAGGGGTCAACCATATAAGAAAGATATGAGAATGCTTCATCAAGAAGACCTTCTAAGATGGAAGCTAAAAGTAACAAATTTGTCAGAACATCAACCAAGTATGATAGCACCATATACTAATTGGAGTAGTTGCATTACATTAGTAGAAGCCAACAACAAGCAACTACACAAACACCACTGCCAAACAGCAGATCATCTCAGCATGGCAGCAAAAAGCAGCCCACAGAGAGAGTACAATTTACAATCTTCTGACATAGTTGACTATGATTAATTTCTCCAGTTCTCAATTAGCACAAAATTCATGGAGGGAAGCATAAATTTTAGTCAAGACAAACAGATTCAATCAAGGATCAAAATATCGTTTCAAAACGGTCGAAACATCTGAAACGTTTCCATTTCCAAGGAAACCGAAACGAATCAGTGATGGAATCTAAATTCTAATACTACGAGGTGTTCCATAATATTTCGATATATTTTGTTATATTTCAATGTATTTGCACAATTATTTCGAAATGTTTCAAGGTATTTTAAGATATTTTGATATATTTTGACTAATGTTTTGAAAAAATAATTTTTATTTTTTTTATTTTTTTTCATTCTGTTTTCGAAACGAGTCAAAAACGTTTCCGAAGCATGTCAAAACGTTTCCGTTTTCTAGGTGACCGAAACAATGCACCGAAACGAAATTTTGATCCTTGGATTCAATACATCGCAGCAGAAAAAAATTACACATGCAGCTTTTCACAAGACTCTATTCTTGCTTTAAAAAATATGAAAACTAGTATATAGCCACAAGCAAAACATGAGAGAAAACACGATTCTGGTGTAAACAACACCCATTTTCAGATAAAAAATGATTATGATGTCAAATACATTAATTCTAGGAGATAACATGACAACGGCATCAACTGAATTATATCTTAAAAGAAAATGAAGATTCGTATGTCAAATGCTTAAATTTAAGAGAAAACATGATTTTGTTGTCACATGCGCTCAATTCTTGGGTAAGTCATTATTCTGAATTCGAATGCACCAATCCTATGCGAATAAAAGAGCCATAAACTATTTGCCTCAATAATCTACTTCCCTTCTTATTTTGTTCCAAAATATTAAATCAAAACACATTTACCCCCCCCCCACCCAGCCAAAAAAAAAAGATTCTAAATTGTCAAATGATTCCGACTTCTGTCAAGTACAACTAAAACGCACAGAAAATGGCCAAATACTACTAAAAAATGTCTCTTAAGAAAATTTGCTACATGGGGAATTAGTAACACAAGGTCCTAGATTCCCTACTCCAGTTGAATATTCACACATTCTACCAATGAAGAAAATCCTCCTGGCAAAGTTAGGTTGGTAAACTTTCCCATCATTATGGAAGTACAAAAAAGTGAAGATTTGATGACCTTCAGCCCACTAATGGTCAAAGTATCCGCCAATACCGATAAGGTTCAGTCAAGTCTTATTTGATCCGACTCGGCACCTTCCAATCCTATACCGTTCCACAATGAAAATCACGAGTCTTAAGGAACTTGGGGGAGTCATTCGAGACATCTCCAATTCAACCTCCAGTTGCCAGGGTCTATCTCACCGAAACAGTTTATACCATTCCACAACACTACGACATAGCCTGAATCTCGAGTGATGTTAAAGTTGTTCTTATATGTAGTCAGATACCATTCTGCGATGATGCGACCAATATGGTCAATGCATTCCGAGTCAAGGGTCGATAAAGCCACCTTGAACAATGAGTCCACTATATAGAAATTTAAGTCCATTCCAAGGGTGTATGGCAAAGCAACGGTGGATTGGACTGGTTTGGATTTAAATTCCAAATCAGTCCAACGAAATCCCAATAACCCGGATACAATGTTGGATAAAAACAAATGGTTTTATCCAATCCTTGATTTGGATAGTAAATTATGATACTGTGGGCCCCATGGACAAACCAATTTTTTTGGGTCAAATCTCATAACTTTAAAATTAATTTACCACTTACCCTTGAATCCTCTCATATCTAGTCTAGTAATTCTTGGTTACCACTTTAATATTGAATTGAAAATTTATGACAAGTTAGCTATTGTAAAAAATCAAGTTTTTTGCGTTCCACTGTAAACAAATTTTAAAAGGGCGACCACAAATATATTTGATCCACCCAAAATATTATACTAAAATTAATTAACAAAAAATAAAAAAATTGAATGCAAGAGCCGAAATTACATAAACATTTAACATTAACCAACATTCCCTTATATAAAAATACACAAAATAAAAACATCATAGTGCATATTCCATACTCAAACATATGGCCATATTAATTGTTGCCTTGAACAACAAATACAAAATGGAGGTAACATAATTTGTAATTAAGTTGAAGCTAAATGCCCCAAATGCACTGCTAGGTATCCAAAACCCACAACCACTGAAACCCATAAATGCCAGCCTAAAGGCACAACATCACCAACTTTGGCAACGGCACGATCATGCATTGTTGGGTATCCAAAACCCACAACCACAACAAATCAATCTTGGTTAAATGAGTTCATTTCCCCACTAGGGTGTGAGATCGAGACCCCTCTTCACTCCAGCCACAAAACACACACCCAGAGGGGGAAGAGAGAGGGAGTGAGATGGAGATGACTCTTCACTCCAACCGCAAAGCCACGCTACTAGATAGAGGGAGACAGACCCATTGCAAAAGAGAGAGAGGGGGAGCGAGAGAGAACAGAGCCGGACATTGTTCTAGGTTCGCCCAAAGATAGATACAAATCAGAGAGAGATTGGTCATCGGCTTCTCACGGACACCCTCAATTCCATATTTATCGGAAGCTTCTCACAGAGACCTTCAATTCTGTGTTTCTGTTGGCTTGATAATTTCGATTGATAAAAAATAGATGACGACGAGAGAGAGACACCAGAGGACCACACGGTTGAAAGACAAGAAGTGAGAAGGGTTAAAAACCCTAGGCAAAAGTGTGGAGGGTGTTTTAGTAAAATTCCACATGTATACAGTCAATGGAATTTTAATCCCACATGCCCCGTGGGTTAAAAATATCCAGCTCAAAATAGATATTGGCCTCATTTCATACGGGCCAATGATTTCAAGCCCAGTGATTATCCCACCCTCTTTTCAGCCAATCCGTGAGTATACCATGAAGTTACAAAGGTTGTACCTGTGAACCAACCCCAAAGAAGGGATATGTGGGCCCCCTTCACAATTCTAACCCAATCCCCCATAAAATCCCCCCAAATCCAGCGATCGAAACACCCCACAGGAGATTTTAGCATACTGGGTTTTAGATATGGAGAGGAGCTTCTTGATCAATCCCACAGGTTACGTATGAATAGCCAAAGAATCATTTTAGTGTTTAGCTCAAAGCATAATAGACACATGTTAAATGCAAAAAAGATTGAACACACTCACTCTTCAAGCAACCAATAGCTGCGCCTTTGAAAATTTTCATTATCTTCTCCATGGGCATAGTAGCAATGCAAAACATCAACACTTCCTGCCTGAGAAAATGTTTATTATATATACATTAATTTGGAAGCATGGACAAAATTTTACAAGAACGATAGCTTCTTAAACAGAATAATGCATTTGCTTGCGAAAAAATATCAGCAAATGCAACATCATTTACATTTACCTTGAGCCTTTCATGAGCTTCTTTCACCGTTTTTCCATCCTTTTTCTTCCTCCAGTTATGGCCATCTTTTCTAAAGTACCTTAACACCTTTCGATCAAAAAGAAAAAGAGAACCATCTGAAAAGGACATGCATGTCAATCTTTAATATGTGGAAACTGTTAAATAAAAGATCACCTAATGAACATAATGCCATTTTTTAAATCACAGCATTACACAGTAAACCCACTTAAAACATGGCTATGAAAATATCATTGAGCCTCTGACTTTTAAAATATTAGCTACAGACAAACACAAGAGCACACCTAAAAGAGACAGACAAGTCACGAATATGGAACTGCAATGAAGCAATAGAAACTGCAATAGGGATCAGGAAAATCTTGCTTTAAAAAATTGAACGAATAAAAATAAATAAACCAAGAGCATCAATGACAAACTTAGTAATATAAAATCAATCAACTGTAATTGCAGCACAGAAGATAGTTGTGTTTATCATCCCATTAGTTATTTGACAAACGATAACAAAGCAGGATCTTCACTACTGATGGGAAACAGGAAAAAAAAAAGGAACAAATTCTATCGGCACACAGTTGTGATAAATGTTTTGGAAACAGATGAACAACTCAATCTCAGTCAATATCAAAGGGTTGCAAACCATATTCTCCAACATGATGTTGATTGGAAACATGAATTAATTGTACTTTGCAGTGAGAAATACACCTAAACTAGGATTTCGACTTTAGAATAGATTGCCACAGCGAAAGAAGTAAACAGTTACAAAAAGATAGACAAAAAAAGAAGTTGGGGATAAAGCAGAGAAAGAAATAGAAATGTGCTAGATAGTTGTTGAGTTGAAAGTACAGGAGAGAGACACAGTGGCGGAACTAGGATTTTGTCAGTGGAGCAATTCAAAACTTTCCCGCACTACATTGTTATAAAACAAGATTACTCATATTCATAACTTCATGAAAAGATTTAATATTATTGAATGTCAGTCTGGTCAATGGGTCCGTCCTACAGACAACATATGGCTACATAGGAGTCAATAACTACTCTTTGAATAAAGCACCAAAAGAAATTTTTAGCGAAAAGGAAGAAACAGAACCCAATAAAGACATGCTTTCAATTAATTTCCTAAAAACCATTCCAACGTGTAATTTGTAAAAAACAACAGTACTGGTCCAAAATAAAATAAGACCATACCAACAAAAATAATCAAAAAAATTAACAAAACCACCGCATAAAGAAGAAAGAAGAAGAAGAAGAATTCAATATCCGACTGTGCAAGAAAGGAAATACTTGCAAAGAAATGTTAGGAGGAGGTAGCTAAAAAGAAGTTCCACACCCAAAAATGATCTAATTTGTATCTACACAGATGGTTGGCCTTGTAGCATGTAATACAAGGATAATGATTCAAGAGACTAGTCTTCAAATAACCAGTTTCTACACAGACTTCATTTGAGCATCCAACACCCAAACAAATTAAACTGAAGTACTTGTAACTTGGACCAAAGAGTACTTTCAACACTCAACCCATCCACAAGATCATGGGATAGTAAAGAAATATTGCCACAAAAGTTTTTCTGTGCGCTTATTATTATTAACCAATGAAATGTAGCTAGCAAACTTACTTGGAGGCCTATTTGCCGGCTCTGGAGCAATACGAAACTTTGTGTAATTTTGAAGGATTTCACAGATTTCAGCCGGACGTAGCCATCGATGCTGTGCTTCTAAGAGTATCTGCTCAATATCTGCATTCAACCATAATCTCAGTCAGTACATCTGCACACAAAAATTCAAATATGCATGCACAAAAGGAATCAAAGATAATGAGAAGCATCAACATACTAAGTTAAACCAGTTCTTATTTCATCCATTCCAAAAGCCACTCATTATCCACATATAATAACACCACAAATAATAAGCAGGAAAAAGAACAAAGCCAAGAAAATAAGAGACATTAAATCACAAAATTGATCAACACTTCATTCATCCATTCCAAAAGCAATGATTTGAACATATAGAATAGCATTACAAAGAATCTTCAATGATTGGCACATGCAACCTACAAGTTACCATCTCCTTCTCATTAGCCAATTTTTCTGCAATTGCTTTCACCTCCTTATTCACCTAAACTCCTTCTAATCGCAATTCCATAGTTCCATCTCCTATCACTGGTTTTCTATCCACTCCATAATGATTTTCTATCTTTGTTTCAGTATTTGCGACACCTACTGTCTTCTAACTCTGTAACTCCTATTTTCACTTTCCAGCTCTCCCATCCCTAGAGCCATTTCTCAATGTGTGCTTATTTTCTTACTATATAGGTGTAATAACAGAACCTGAAAATTCCTAGAAACGAAAAAGGATTTAGGAATTCTTAGCTATTTCTCCAGTTTTCCATCCTTTCAACCATGTTCGTAAGATGAGGAAGTAAAACGTCAACTTAGCTGCTAGGCGTGTTGGCGAATATAACACGTGGTTTAGTAGCAGAAGGCATAAAAAGTGAAAAACTGTTTTAGGTGTTAGGTGACAGGAGAAACTAATCAAATTACCTAAGAAATCAGCTTAGCTGCTGAGTTTTTAGCAAATATACAACATGTGGTTTGAGACTTTGAGCACATAATGTTCACAATCTAACAGATTGCACAGCCTCAAATATGGATAGAACGGCTACCAGCCAGACATGTTTACTATTTCCCCATCAAGCAAACCAATTTCAATATGATGAAAATAGTAAAATCATCTTCTTTCTAGAGTTATTCATCTTCCGCAAAAAGAGGTTACAGGCAAAACTCTCCTTTATTCAGTTTCAAAGTCCATCACTGCAAAAGAAAACATTGAGCCTCTCATAACGAATCAAACATTCTTTTCACCCAAAAATTTCGTTAGGGCTGTTGTTTTGAAGTACGACATTCATGCCTTGGAATTGAAATCATAGAAACCACAATTGCAATCTGTAACTGAATACCGTCTTCAATTCCACTTCCGTGCTCCTAAACGCAACATAAAAATCTGATTTTTCAATAATTTCCTAGAAATCCAATAATTCCCAAATCACTTTAAACATGTGCGTATGTAAAACTAACACTAATGAATTCCAAACCTAACTCATTCCCAGTGACTCACCCCTGTAGAAATCTATTACAAAATTCAGATAATTTCAAATTCAGAAATAGCTACGCAACTATAATTCACCTTCAGATAAAAATAAAAAGAAAAAAGAAAAGAAAAGTTATCTGATAAATCTCAGAAGTACTGACTGAAAAGGAGTTGAAGAACTGACCTAATTGAGTTCCCAGAGCATATCGCCGACTCTCGCTCTCCGCCATAAACTCTATCAATCTTATACGCCACCGATTCACTCCGATCTCAAAACTCTTAACTTCATATACGACACAGCTTATACAAGTCGGAGCTCGCCTCCTTAATTCAGTCAAAGTTGTTAAAGAATCACTGTTAACTAAGAATGATATGAGATCACGACACGATTGGGTCAAGATCTTATATGCACTGTAGTACAACTCAGGTAAAAAATATTATGGGGGAGAGAGAGAAGGGGTAAATAAAACGGCAAAAAGAGTGTGAGGACGAAGTTGCAGAAGAAGGTGGGGGGGAAGGTCACTCAGAAGACCGCCGAAATGGAAAAATGCACCCGTGTTCACACGTAGACATCAACCTCTTTTTCTTTTTCTTTTTTCTACCTTAAAAGATTCTTAAAATTGTATCATTTTCTTACATTATAACCACAACGTCACAACCTAGTTCAATGTAGACCCTCACAATAACTACGTAAATTTGAAGGTATAATATGAAATAAATAATTTTTGAAAGTATAAATTAAAAATTTTGGCATGTAAAATATTTTTTTTTATTACAAGATGTACCATCTGTTTTTAGCAAGTATTTCGTGATGGATTAAGTGATGTCATCTTACTACAAATGGGACCACATTCTATGTACGCCTAAAAAAGTCGGCCACTCTTATTTTGTCGGATATGTTCTAATCTAATCCGGCTCAAGTGATAGTTGTTGAGTTTGCAGGAATAGACGATATAAGTCTAGATGCTCTATAGTAAAAGCAAAATACTTAAAAAAAATAAATAATATGGTATTAAAAGAATTAATACCGTCGTCAAACCCTGGATAGAATTTCAAAGAGTATATTTTATTCCTTTTTTATGTGAAAAAACATGGACATTAAAGATTAAAGACGAGAAATAGTAAAAATATGTGATTATTCATGTGTTTACGTGAGAGATATTAGTTGAGGATTAAAATTTTGATTATTACCTTTGAGAGATGAACTAATGGCCCGTTTGGTTTGGTGGAAAAGTGGGTGAATGGAAAATGATGGATAAAAAATAACATTTTTCTTTATTTGGTATGAAAGGAAAATTGAGGGAAAAGAAAAAAAATGGGTGAAAAACATATCCTCTCTGCACCCACAATTTTTAATTACTCCACGAATGGGAGGAAAGTGGACGAAAGGAACTGGTTGAAAAGTTATTTGGAATTACTATTTGGCAGATTATAAAACACAAATTAAAGGGATAAAATAAGTGTGTTTGCCCACCTATTTTGTCATTTTTTACGTATAAATGGACCAAATAAGTGCGTCTCATATCAAAGTCATTTGTTTCTGATGAGAGCAATTATGGTCATTGTCAGGTCATTTTTTTTATTCACTTATCTTCACGTACCATATAAAATGATAAAAAAATTGGGCAAATTATTAATTTCTTGACTTTTTTATTTATTTTTCTAACAAATGGACTTTTTCTCCTTAAAATATACTTGTAAACAGTATGTCATAATTTCAAATCAAAATTTATACATTTCTCAAAAATATTTCTAAATATCCCATTACATATATTTTTTCTATATATATTTTTTGTATACATATATATATTTTTATTTATTTTTTAAAAAAAATTTGTAATAAAAAAATATATTTATATATAAGGGTATAATGATAAATTAAATACATGTATCTTTTTCTTAAAGTTATAACTCCAAAATACATAATCGATTATAAAATATTATAATTGATTATGAAAGTTATAATTTTTGAATATCAAATTATATTTTTTAAACATTAAATTATAATTAAGTGAGATTATTTATAATTTTATGATCGATTACAACAATTTATGATTGTTCATAAAGAATTTCAATTGATTGTAATTTCATATTTAAAAACTATTACTTAACCATTAAAAAATAATAATTTGTGGTATGATGCCCATTTTTTTTCCCAGTACCATTGTGTTATTCAAGAGAGATACTACGAATCTTTCATATAATGGAAAATAATATATCTTATTTTTCAAAACAAAATAGCCGATATTTCAAAATTTTTGCACACTTTGACCTTATTGAATTTTGTAGTTTTGTTTATGCCTCAAATATTATTTTAAGGCTGGCGTATCTCACTTTTCATGAATAGGTGTGTTTACTTTAGGTATTAGAAAAGAGGATTGAAAAAAATAGTGCTATGGCCCACCTTATTCCTTTTATTTTCATGTTTGGTTAGATATTTTGGATCTGTTATTATTACCTATAAATAATCCAGATCCAGATGAATAGTGCATTTATAACCATGAACACCTTCTTAAAAAATCCACCAAATGGTGGGTTAAAATAATGAGATTGGGGAGTATTTGTGCAAAATAAATTTTAATCCTTGGCAAACCCAGATAAGGGTGGGCCCACAATTTTTGAATACTTGAACCAAATAAAAGATAAGAAACCTGATTTTAGATTTATATTATTTTCTTCGGATAGATGGGTATGGGATTGTTTGGACATAAAACACAAAATTATGAAAACATTCGATACATGTGTAATTAACAAGTCTAAAATCATTAAAAGATTGTCATGTGTCAAGATTTGAAGAAAATGCGGGAAGTAACCAACCACAACTATGGTTTAAAAGAGGAAATAATTATCTGGGAGTTACAAAATCAAATAACTGTTGATAAATGAGAAACCGTTGAGAGAAGTGGCTATAAAAGAGGAAAAGCAGAAAGACAAAAGACAACTCAAACCCCCCCCCCACAAGACCCACAATTAAGGCATTTATTAGTAATGCTACAGTCAGTTTTTATAGAATAGTTAGTGTTGTAATCAAAGGTTATTAAATCAGTCACTTTGTAACCGAAACCCACTCAATTGAATTAATAAAGACATATTTCTTTGTTAGTTTAGTATTTTGTGTGTTTTGTTATCGAATTTCATCCAAATAAATCTTGAAACAAGGCAGTAGAATCCACCTATAAACAATCGCTTGAAATCTGTCTATCGATTGAGGCATTTCTATCAATCGCAGCAAATTTTGGAGCAATAATCTTTTGGCATGCCTGATAGAACATTTGTACTAACTTGGACAAAAAAGATGGTGTGAACAAGGAAGCAAGACAAAAATTTGTATGGGACTAACGAAATTGTAGAACTGACGCCAGTCAATGGCAATTATGAAAGCAAATTCAAGTACCCCTCCTGTGGAATCTGCGAACCTAGTGAATGGCTAGTCCAACGGTCAGGATAGTGTGCAAACACAAGAATTTGTGTAGAATCTGAAATAGGTATTGCATAATTCCAATTTTAGCATTAGGTAAGAATTATTTAATGTCATGCATGAGTTAATGAATGTCCTAGCACTAGTGTTCGAACCTATCGATCAAAGGACAAACACTACCACTAGAAATCCAGTGGCGAATTAGTGAAATGCTGGTCTTATGGTATGCCCTATAGAAAATCAGAGGCCGCCATCAATGGTTGCAAATGAGAGATCAAAAGTCCCATATCAAAATCAATTTAACATATTGTTTGATGGAGAACCTGTAGAGGTTTTTCCAAACTTCTTCCCACATAAAAATCCTAGGGGAAAGAATGGATCAAAAATGGCCCTTGAAATTCTCAGGAGCACCCGTGAGAGGTTTGATATGCCTCCTTTGGAACCCGTAGATGAATACTCAAGACCAAGGGGCAACCTTTTGATCAAGGTGAACACCTAAATGGTCTCCAGAATTTGGTTTTCAACAGAAAACAGTTAATAGAAATAATGCAAGATTTGTATAGTCCTGGCCTAAGAAAAATTGAGAAGTCTATGTTCAGAAAATCATACCCTCATTGGGTAGACTATAAAGAGTTCCCAAAGGGATACAAAATCCCATATTTTCATATCTTCTCTAGCGAAAAGAGCCAATCCACAATAGAATATGTAGGAAAGTTCACTTTCCAATGTGGAGAGGTTAGACACAATGGAAATTTAAAAATGAAATTGTTCCCACAATCACTTACAAAAACTACTTTCGCTTGGCTCTTTAACTTGTCTGCTAATTCAATTTAAACACGGCAAGAGATGGATGAGCAATTTAATGCTCAATTTTTCAGAAACAAATCAAAAGTCTTGATGGAAGATTTGTCTAGGTTAAGATACAAATCAAATGAATCTGCAGAACAATATATTGACTGATTTAAAAAGGCTAGAAATAAATGCCACATTTACTTGCTTGAAGTAGAATTGGTGAAATTGGCCCAAAATAGTTTAGACTTCGAATTGCAAAATAAATTCGAAGGAATGGAGTTTAGGGGCCTGATTAAACTCTTAGCCATGGCTACAAGATTTGAAATGTTGCTTAGAGAAAAGCAACAAAGAAAAAAAAAATCATTTGTAACTTATTTCCAAGACTTCAAAGGAGAAGTTGAAATGGATGTGGCACAATTCATAGGAAAATCACCAATCATGTGTGATACCCCAAAAAAATTGAAAACCTTATTAACTTGCCATCTAATCATCCTTTTAAGAAGGATACATCCCAAACCTTCAGACAATACTCTTTTGATCTGTCGATAGCTGATGCTTTCTTTGGTGAGATGATCAATCAAAAGTTTAGAATTTTATCTCAAGGACATAGCATCCCACTAGAGAAAGACAAGAAAGAAAAAGAGTATTACAAATGATATAATTCATTTAGACATTCAACTAAGAATTGCATCACCTTAGGAATCAAGTGCAAGATCTAATACATAAAGGAATGCTTAAATATGCCACAAAATAGGAAGAGACCATGAAAATCGACAAGGATCTTTTTTTCCAAGGAAGTAAACATTAATGTGATTTTTGTTAATATGCAGGAAAGCAAGAATCTACTAGTTCTGGGGTTGGCAGAGAGATAATTGTTCCCAATATGAGGGTCCCAATGCATAGCAAACCTGGCCCCAAAGAGGATGAGCCACTGGTTATGTATTTCAAGTGTGCAAAGAAATAGTCAAACCTGATGCAATCCCACTGGATGATGTAGTCAAGGAGTTTACTAATAAAGGA